TTTTAAATGTTCATTATTTAATCAACTACACTATTCTTACCTAATTCTAGCCCACTTCTCTGTCCTCTTCTTTCTCTCTTCTTAGCAATCTCTCTGGAGGACTATTTGAGGAGGGCTCAGTTCTTCTTTTTCTATTATATAAAACAAGTGAATTCTCCTCAGTACTTATGATCAAATACTTATCTGTTGAGTGTTCATCAGGCTACTCGATAGATTAAAAACAAAACAATAAAACACAAGACAACGAATAAACAAAAACTGTCTATTTAAACCATGATACTTAGAATGTTAGAATTTATTTTTTCTCCTTAAAATAGTTTTTTTATCATCTTTTGACATCTCATGAAAATTTAAAAATAATTGCAATATCTTAATATTATAAAAATTCTGAAAAGAATATGCTAGTTTCAGTGTCTTAAAGATGAGGAAACTGAACTTGAAAATCACTGTGTGCAGTTATACAGTTAAGAAGGGGCAGAATTAAAATTCCATAGCAGAGCTGTCCGACCGCAAGACCTTGTCTATACCTCTAAGCTTACTGACTTTGAGGTTCCATTTTCTACTCTGTAAAAAGAGATAAAATATTAGCAACTCCCCAAATTAAATGAAGTAATTGAGGAAAATGTAGCTTGTGTGCTATACAACTTTATATAAGAAGAATGAGTATCACCCTTATAACCACTATCAATGTCACCATCACTGCTGCCATCAACATTACTGTCACTTACACCACTGACACCACCAGCAATACTACCGATATTACCATCCTTTCTTCCATCAGCATTTGTACTACCACCAATACTTTACCATTATCAAGACCAGCCCCATTATTGCTGCCATTCATACCATGACCACTATCATTACTATCATGGCTATCACTGCCACCACTCACAGGACCACATTTCTTCACATCAGCTCATGATAATGTGACTATTTCCAACTCAGTTCAGCATTCACTGAGAGTCTGATAGTTCAAAATATCCTTGGTAGGGACGTTCGCCTCTTGAGTTCATTGGCATATACTACAAACCAGGAATGTAAGCACAGCAAGAATCCCCACAGTCACTAGTACTGTTGCCAACCCCACCATCATCATTATTACTACCACCACCTTCACCACTCCCACCATCTCCTACAGTCATCATCTCAACATGATCAACTCATGATTACCACTACCATCTGAAAGATGACATTTCTAAATATTTTTCATAACTAGATCAGCATACCATTCCTATTCTTTGATTATGCATAAGAAAATAATGCAAATGTTGGCCTTGCAGCCTGACCCTATCATGTGAGAGCATGGTGGAGAATGAAAAGGAAGAGAAGTGAGGAATAAGCTCCAACTTCAGCATCCTTCCTGGATGTAAGCAGGAGATGAGGTTTTGCTAGATTTATTGAACAGACAAAGTCTATCTAGACCAAATCCATTAAAACAATTCAGCTGGCACTCTATTATTTTCACATGAGTTAAGCTGCAAGTTGCTTGAAATAGATTCATCTCTGGGAATAGGAGGAGGGGATGATGGGCAAAGCTGACGTGTCTACATACCAAGGGAAGTTTGAGGCTGTGAGTAAGGAATATCCTCTTTCATTACAGCATTGGATAGGGATAAGGAGTGAATTGATTGTGGCTTAGGATGCTGCAAACAAAAACTCTAGTTTTTCCTTGGAGAAAAAATAAAAATAGAAAAGGAGCCATAGATAGGTAATAATGTTTTTAAAACTCTTATGAACTCTGTCTCTATAACACTCTATAGTAGATTTCATTTACATTTTGCTACCAAATGCACTGAACCTAACACAAATAAAAATATTATACACGACAGGGTGGCAGTATTCTCTGAATTCTAACTCCACGCTTTCCCATCTCATCATATTTCATCATAGATAGGAATTGATCTAGTATTTAAGACAATAGGTTACCAAAAGCAAAGTCTTCACTTCCTATGTTTGTCTATTTATATCAGCAAAAATATGTGAAATAGACATTATTGTTGCCAATTTACAATTCGAAAAAATGGTGATATTGAAAAAGTGTTTCTTGTTCAAAATAAATTATCTCATAAATGCCCAAATTAGGATTCCGTTTCATAGTCCAATGTTGTAAACGCTCCCTGGTTACCTCCCTCGCCTAATCTTTGGTGACATTGGTGCAGTATATCCTGGAAATTGGGATGGATTCTTTTTTAAGATTTAAAATACGTTTTGCTCAAGAGCAACTTCAAGTTTGTGTTTTTATGTTATAGGCAATGATTTGTTTGGTATTTTTGTTTTTATTAAGTGCTTGATAATTTGTGTTGTGTGGGTGGTTTTCGGGCTGATCGCTGAATAACGTACTTCTTGAAAATTGCCTGTACTTAATTTAATATATTTCAAATCAGAGACTTTATTCATTATTGTACACATTAAGGTAAATTAATTAGTTAACCTTTTGAGGTTCTTTTTAGACAAAGTCATTAATTGTCCTAATTGCGTGGGTCTTCCTCACCCTCCTTACAAACTATATTGATTCTAATTACTGGTCCTTATGCTACTATTATCTAATGTCTTGGTAAAGGCAAAATTGCATGATTATTTATGTTAAATTTTCCCTATTTGTTTATTTACATTAAGCAAGATTTTTAAAAGTGACTCATCATCTCTTTAATTAGCTGTCACCTTTTGCATAATGTCAGTAGGAGAAGTAAACTGTTAGTAATCACGAGGTGGGAGGTTGTAGAAACAATTTAATCTTAGACTAAGGTATTCCCAGCTGCTACTAATGTGAAGGCAAGATGATATTTTAACAAGAATTATCTTCTTTCAATACTGTCAGTATTTTCTCAGTTTCTTTTAGTTTTTGCCTCTCCTTTCAGCGCCAAGATTTCAGAGACCCTTACTTTTGTTTGGGTGGGACCCATGTTATTACTTAATATGGTCCTTCTATATGTTTGTATTCAGAATTATAGCATGAACAAGCTAACAGATCCATCTTGAATCTTTTCTACATGACAGAAGACAATGTAAATATCAATATGGCTGCAGGGAGGTGCCTATGTTCCTTTCTCCTCTACCATTTACAGTTATTTAAATGTCAGCTGCTCTGACACAGGCACTGTCCTTTCTGCTGAAGATAAAATGAAGGCTCATACATGCCATAACCAAGGATGTAGAAGGTAACATAAACATTAATTCATTAGAGTATTACCAGTATTAAAGCCACTAAAATTAGTTCTTCCATAAAAATAGAGGTCAAGTGGCATCTAACTTACCTTGTCTTTCTGTTTATGGAGAAAGTGATTCACATGAGAGGTCTTAGGTTATTATGGCAAATTTCTACATCTTTTGTGATTATCACAAGATATAGTAATTAACTGAAAAGAAAAGGGGAAGAGATGATGGAAAATTAATTCCAAAGCATTTTTGTGTATGTAATAGTATTTAATTTTCACACTGTCCTTATTAATTAAACATCAGTTGTTATAACTCTAAATAAAAAACTGAGAAGGTAAATAATTTGCCCAAAGTTATGTTATTACTTAACAAGGGTCAAACAATCATTTAATTCTAGTTTGATAAAATTCTCAAATCTACTTTCTTTACTGTACTACTGGTTTCTAGTTGTGTGTGTGTGTGTGCGTGTGTGTGTGTGTGTTTGAGTAAAGTTTTTAAATATAATGATTTAACATAGATTCCTACACTGTATTTTAGAAAGCAATATTATTAAAATAATTATTACCCATTAGAAATTTCATTTAGTAAAAAGAAAGAATATTAATAAAAATTAACCCAGGTATCTATCTCTCTTTCTATCTAACATGATTCTTTCCAAGAAATAGTAGTTGGCAGCCTTTCTCCCACTTAGGTAAATATACTGCATTATTCTAAAAATTATATTTTTTAGACTCTTGAGAACTTCTTTGTGAATCAGTATTTGAGAACCATTTCAATAGATATAATGCTTACCAACTTGAACCATTAGCCAGACAATGTGCTATTTTAGGGAATAGCCGCTATTCAAAGGACGCAAATATGCTGGCCCAAAGGGTAGACCCCCCAGGACCCCTATATTATGGTACCCTGTGGTTATTTACTTATACACCAACTCTGAAACACTGACAAATATTTATTGTTTATAGGGGGTAGGGGAAATCATAGAGAAGGAAAGGAGCAGCCAGCCATTTTTTCAGTCTTCTTAAGAAATAATGGAATGAGAAAGAGTAGAGTGCCTACATTTAGCATTAGAAATGCTGGCTTCCCCCCTTGGTTCACTGGGAAGAAGAAATAAAACTTGCCAAGTGTCCCATCGAGCATCTCAATATGAAGTCCTAATTCAAATACTTACAGCCTGCTGCTCTCTGAATTTCCACTTAAAAATAATTATCAAAACCATGTGGGTTAAAAAAGATTGGGGAGGGGAGTTTCAAAATGGAAATATGTAAATCGCAATAACTTTGGCCTTTTGCATTTGGCTGAGCTGCCCCCAAGCTCAGAGCCTCCCCTTGTGCCCTTTGCTGGATGGTTCCCATGCTGCTGCCTCCACAAGGACTTGGACTGCACCTCCTCCTCCCAGTCTCACATTATAGCTGGTAGCAGCAGCATAGAGTGAATGTACTTCCTTTGGCCATAATGTCTCTTCACTCATCTCTTAGAAACATTTTAAGCTCTTCTGAAGGAGAAGTCTTTCTTACCTTCTTTCTCCACCATAAGGTAAAATTACCATTGACTTCTGTGTGTCTTCAATGCATCCTGGACTAATTTCAGTCAGAAAACTATCATTTCCTAAGTCCTCCTGGCCATCTGCTGTACTAGATCGTGAGTTTTCTGTAGTCTTAATGTCCCCTCCAAAACTCATGAGGAAATTAAATTGCCATTGTAATAAGAGTTGAGTCCCTTAAAAGGTAATTAGTGCTCTATTAATGCTGTTATTTCAAGAGTGATAAAAAGGATGAGTTTGGCCTAATTTCCTCTCTCTGTCTCCACATGCTGGCTTTCCCTTCCACCGTGTTGTGACCTAGCATGAGGAACTTCACTGAGTGCTGACACTATGCTCTTGGACTGGCAGCCTCTGGAACTGTGAGTCTAATAGACTTCTGTTCACTATAACTTACCCAGGGTGTGGTTTTCTGTTATAGCAGCAGAAAAATGGACTAAGAAAAAGCCTCCTGGAAGTGTGTCTGCATTTCTCATACCTATGTGCTATGTATTTATATGTCACTATTGAAAGACTATAAAACTAGCAGAAATTTAACTTAAGCCATGGAATGATAAAATGAATTTATAAAATAAATTTAAAAGGATTTATTATTACTCCTTAAACCAACTGTCTGGAAATCATACGTAGAAAGTTTTTCACAGAGCTTATAAGTTTATGTAAAAATAATTATCTAACACTATTCCTAACTAGATTTACTTGTGCCATGAAATCAGTTTACTCAGTAAATATAAAACTAGTTCTTTAAAAAGAACTTTGGTTAAAAGATAAAAATATTAAGTGCTAACTAGATGCTTTTTCCATAATTATATTAATATCTTGGTGCTTGAGTATTGTGAAGGCATTGTTTTGGTGGTAAAAGAGACTGTCTTTAGAGATTTTAGCACAATATTTATACTTTACTCTTCTATGAATAATAATAATACTGTGAAATTTAAATAGAAGTTTCTTAAAGATGGGCTTTTACACAAAATCCTACAATAGTTTATCTGTTATATAATTATATTTATATACTTTATAGATATAGCTTATGTCTAACTCTGGGTAGTCTAATAGTTATTGGATATAGATAACTTACATTTATAAGTAGATTATTTCTTTTGGGCAGTGCTAATCTAAGTAGCCTAAGGACATCAAGGTACATGGTTACATGGCATGTTGCCCTTGAACCTTGGGTACCCAGAACAAAAAGTGGCAGTATTTAACTTCATTAGCTCATGTTTACATATTTAGAATCTGCCATGAATCACTGTGTAAAGCATTGGAAATGTGAGTACTAACTGGACAGTTATGTTCTCTGGTGTTATAATCTCTAATATTGTGAAAAAGACATATATTAAACAATTATTTGAGTACTTAATATGACCGGTGTGATGCTTAACATAGTGAGAGACATGTAGAAAAATATTACCCCAGGCACCTATCTTCAAATTATTTTCAAAACAGCAAAATGTATTACTTTATTAAAAAATGAAAACATTCATTCTATAGGTTTTTTTTCTTTTGTGATTTTTCTCCTTTAATTCTTCAAACAACTTGTATTTAACCCCAGTTCTTTTAAAAATAATATATAGTAAATATTTTTGAAAATTTTAAACTTTTACTTTAATCACTATGGGACATTGGTGAGTCAGGATTTTGCCCTAGAAAGATCGCTAGCCTGGACATACAGAATCCTGAACTCCAGGCTTGACTTTGCCAGAGTCAGGTGTCCCATCTTGGGCAAATGCCTTCTTTCATTCAACTTAATAATCTCATCTCTAGTATAATTGGCTTGGCCTAGGTCAGTGATCTCAGACCTTTTAAAACTACCAATGTACAAATAGCCTGCTGCAGCATGAATGCCATGGGTTCACTACCACTGGCCTAGTGATATCAGCAGAAGTTGGAAAATTCTAAGTGGAACAGTAAAATTTGGTTACATTTTGGTGATTGGTTTATTTAGAATGCCCCCAGATATTTGAAAAGTTCAGAATATCTTCATCTCTCAAATCAGCAAGGTTTGCCCAGAAGCCTAATCAAGGATCCTGCTTCCTCTATCTAACTGCTCACTTCATTTATAGTACAATTAAACCTAAATGGGCACCAGCAGCATTCCTTGTATACAACCAATAAGAATCAGTGACACTGCCTTAGAATCCTATTTCATGTTCTTAGGTGTTCTCTGTGATTAGGGAAGCTTAGTGTGCCTATCCTTAAACTAAGCTTTGTAATGATCTAATACCAGAGTGGTTTAGTTTAGTGCATATGTTGCCCTTATAAATACACAAATGAATTTGGTTACCAGAAACCAAATCAATTCCTAAACAGAAAATGTAGTTGTTGTGAAAGGGAGAGAAGTAGTTGATGTGGTGGCAACTCACAAATGACCTTGATCAAGTTATTTAAATGCAGTTTTACTAGGACATTATCTTATCTGCCAAATAACAGGGATAAAATGTGATACTCAAGGAGCAGAAATACAATGAGTGAGAAACAACAAAACAAATATGTAATTTCCTAGCTCAGCACATAGTTAGAGGCATTTATTGAAGGCTGGTCAGACCTCTAATCACCTGACCAAGGGTATGGTAGAAGGATAACAAAAGACAAAAGATATTTACTGCATAACTGGGGGGCCCAGGATGGTCAGAAATCTTATTAGGCTAGGATACTATCTCTTGGAGCTTGCCACTATTTATTGAACACACAGCTTCTTGAAGGAGCAAGGAGCAGTACAGGGAACAGTGGAGTGAAAAGCACTGATGAGAATAGGGTCCTAGCAACAAGGGAATGAGACAATCTAGCAGCAACAGCTCACTGATTAACGAGAATTTGGTTTTTTTCAAGATTAATTTTTGCTTCCATAAAAGTTTTTTTTATACGAGTCATGTTGCCCTTAGCTGCACTATTTTCTTGCCCTCCAAGACATCACAGCATCACAGATCATTGATACCTCCTCTATAACCAGTGGCGTGGGGAGTTGTTTCTTTCCCACACAGCAACTGCTGGCTCTTCAGGCAAGCCACTGTGGGCTAATAGGCAGACTCAGAATTTTAATATGGGAAACCAGTTTATAAATTTTTAGCTTTCTCAGGGTGGTCTCCACCAGGCATTGACATGATAAAAGCTTTAATTTCCCCATTTCTCACTTAGTTACTTTTCTTACTGCTAAGACAAAATACCTGATACTCAATGTTAAAGGATGAAAGGTTTATTTTGGCTCGTAGTTTGTAAAGGTTTCAATTCATAGTCAGCTGTCTCCAAGGCATAGTGGCATGGCAGAGGGGAATTGAAGGGAAGAAACTCCATGGTAAAGCAGGGTAGGCAGAAGTCAGCAAGCAGCAAGCTAAAAGGAGCAACCAACACAGGTCTCTTTCTGTCTCTTCTATATTATCCAAGCTACCTGCTGTCAGGGCAGGTAGCACTCATATCCTTAATCCTAGCATTGCACAATGTATCAATCCCAACATCGTCTCCTTAATCTCAGCATCACACATCCAAGATCCAGCTACCTTCGAAAAGCCCCGTCTATGACTACCCGAGGCTTTGAGGGGACATCTAGATACAAGCCATAGCATTCTGTTAATAAAATCCAAATATGGAAGCTTTTCTTTTGGCTTATTTTGAGAATGCTAATGAAAATTCATGGGTAGCAAATACGAATTTAGTTCAACTTTGTATGTATCGATATAATTGTATTTATTTCTCTCAGGAGGTAAACTACATTGGTCTGGATATTTACTTTAGTGTGGCTTAATATCTAAAGATGTATCGCTTTCCCTATGTTGACTAATTGCCATTTCTATCAACACATCCTGAGAAAAATGTTTTCACAGTATTCAGCAAACATGAGCTGATTTCTCCTTATGTACTTCCTTGTAAACAGCTTATCAAGCCTTCCAAATTCAGACTGTCATTAATAGAGTAGAACCAGGGTAGTAATTTTTTAAACTGCTGATGTAGGGTAAACAACAAACATAAACATACAAGCCTTTCTCCATATCTAAAAATATAGAGATGTACAAACATATTAGACAAATTATATTGTTACTAATATAATCAGAAAGTGCATGTAAGTTCTCCCTGAATTCTGTGAGATTCAATTATACATATTACTACCCATAGCGATTCTATTATAAAATAACTTTGAATTCATCTCTACTGAGAACAAACATCTCTTCAACTCTATAGGTGCCAGAGAAAACTCAATTTTGTCCTTCCTTTATCTGATTCTTCTTCTCATTATTTTTGCCAATGAAACTTATCTTCTCAGGTTTTGAGAGCTCAGACTATGGTTGACACTTTTCTTTTCTTTTTTTCTTTTTTTGAGACAGGGTATCATTATGTACCAGGCTAGCCTTGAAGTGACTATAGAGTGAAGGTAGGCCTCACAGTCACAGCAATCTTCCTGTCTCAGGATCCTGAGTGCTGGGATTATACGAGTGTGTCACCACACTTGGTTTATAATCCATATCTAATAATATTACCCTAACCATTATAATATACACAGTGAAACTATTTCTATTCCTTACTGCAGATTCTACTCCCCTGGCACATTCTCCAATAAACAGAACCTGGTTCATGGCAATATCTTGGAGTCTAATGACTGTTTGAAAAAATGTCTGTTTGACTGAACTCTTTGGAAAAATTTCCATGATTCAGATTTACATTTCCAGCATCTAGTACAATTTCTAACACACAGTACAAGCTTATTAAATACTAGTTGAATTGAGGAAACATCTAATTTACCCAAGTGTGCCTGATTTCTCTCTATTTGAAATCAAACTGCATCTTTCTGTCAGATTAATTCCATCAAAATACAATTCTGTTTATGATACTCCTTCAATGAACAAAATAGAAACTATCATTTGTTTAAAGTTTATTGTGTTGCTGGTTATTATTATCATAACCCCATAGCAAACTATTGCTTCCATTTTCACGGATGAGAAAACTGAGGTACAATAAGGTAAGGCACAATTGAGCTCTCATTTTTAAAGGTGCAGATAGGGGAAATATTCACTACTGTTTCACACCAGAGAATGCAGTGTCCTTTGTGCTACTTTTCTTTCTCTGCTAAAATACTTCTAAAATGACTTCCTAAAACAACATATACTTTATGACATGAACTGATGAGTAAAGGGCTGGTTGGAGAACATTTAGTGAAGACTTGTTATTCTGACCTGGGTAACTAGAGGAGCATCAGGCAACTTCTTAGAGCTTCTTAGTGATGGAGAATCTCAGGTCCCAAGCAAAACCTATTCAGTCAGAATCTACACTGTGACAAGATTCCCAGTTGATTTGTAAGCACATTGAAGATTCAGACTCATATGTCAACGACCACAGATCATGCGGAACCAGTATTGATTTATCATAATCAAGG